ACTTCATGGCAGCAGAAGGCAATGAAACAGCAAGAACAAAAGAGAGGAGTAACACAATAATGGCAATAGAGACCAAGTCTCTCTGTTTCTCTTATGTTGTATTCAGGCTATCCGTCTGAGACTAGATGTAACATTTACACCCATAATCCCAGAAGTACTCAGACCCATAATCCCAGTAGGTCACAAGTTAATCACAAACTCTAGAAGTAGGTCTGCCCCATGACTTACATGAGGCTTTAGGGGAAAAACTAGACACAAACAATAGCGCCTATTCTCCAATAAACCTTTCCCACTCCTAACTTCCTTTGTCCTTTGGAATTTATTCTTTGATTTCTGGAGACACAATATTGGAACATCTGACATCTAGCAGGTTGGAAGATATATTTCTCCTTTGCCAGTTTCGTCTGCTCAAGAAGAAATACTACTGAGTTCTCATTTTTCCAATCCCAGCACATTCTTCTTCAGGTACACCGAGTACATTTCTGGGGTTATTAGTCTGAGGTTTTCCTCTGTGTCCAGATTTCATTATTTTTTTAATTTTTAAAAAATTATTTATTTATTTGATAATAAGCTTCTCTTCTGGAGGGTTAACAAGCTAAGTCTGCAGACCAAAAATTAGAGAAAAAGAAGGGCTGCAAGGACAGCCAAAATTTTAGCCCTAGCCTTTTAAGGTCAGTAAAGACTCAGGACATATGAGAACTTGTACTGTAACATCATGTAACTCAGTTGTGTCCCAAATTTTCTAATCAAGGAGATTATGGGGCCAAAGAGGACAGTGAGCGATGATGTAGAGTGTGCCTAAGGAGAGTCACCTGGTGAGAAAACATTCTCTTGGGCTTTCACAGAGAGCACATTGGTGAAGCAATGGCAGTGACTCATCCACATGGCTGACACTGGCAAAGGATCTACAAACTGCAGTACAGGGTTTCAGGATTTGACTGACCTTATCAGATAAAAAAGATACATTTCTTGTTATATAGGTCTTGCTTTATCTTGGTCTTAACCATCTAGCAGAAAAGTATAAACACAAAGTATAAAAAGTAAAGCCATGGGGGCCGGGGAGATGGCTCAGTGGAATAAGTGCTTCCCTGGCAAGCACAAGGGCCTGAGTTCAATCCCTGGTTCCGCAAAAAGAAAAAAAACAAAAATAAAAAGTAAAGCCATATTAATATGCTGAGCTGTAAAGGCTCAAGGCAACAACTTCTGACATTGACAGTCTTATGGAAAACCCAGTACTCTTATGAATTACTGGTCTTTATTGGAATATTTTGCTGAATTCACACACCTATAATATTTAAATGACAGTGGAATACCCTTCTTTGATAAAACTAAACAACAAAAGGGGATACAAATGAACAACCATTTTGTATCTGTATATTCAATATAGTTTGGATAGATATACAGATACTTTCTCTCAATTCAATGACTAGAAAGATTTATTCTAATAGTGCTTGTGGACAGGATATCATGTCTGCATCTTGTACAATGAATAACCACTAAGACAACCATATGCAATGTATTAATTATTGAAACTGTCCTACTAATTGGTTTTGAAACTGTCTCATTGCTATTTGTTTCTCAATAAAATTATTTTTAAAATAATTTATTTGTTCATTTATTTATTTGCCACAGCTTCTCAATACACAGGTTGGACTCATACTGTTCCCCCTGTCTCAGCCTCCCAAGTGCTGGGATTAAAGCCTTACACCCACATACCAAGTTTAGTGATGTGCCCAGGGTTCGTAGGCCAGCATAGCATGTGGTACCAGGGATTGAACTCATGTCTTTCGCTTACCAGGCAGGCACTTAGACTGCTGAGCTATCTCCCTAGCCTTAAAATGGACTTTAGAGTCTCTTTGGAGATGAATTTGAGGTGTATATGATACAGTTTTGCTTTGTTTTGTTTTGTTTTTTTATTAATTTGTACAGCCATTCAGTGCTAAGGCAGGGGATAGAGCATAACAAAGTCTCTGTCCTAAAACCTGGATGATCATTTCATTTTGATTGTATCATTCAGTCTCAAACCCTTGTGGAAAGGCTGAATTCAACTGAGAGTGGATGAATTCTCATTTTCCAGAATCCAGTTTCTGATCTTAAAAGGAAGAGTGGAGAGGGAAAAGGAGAAATAAAGACTGAAGGAGTGGAGGGAGAATAGGTGATGTGTCAGGAGTGGGGTGGGCAGATAACTTGAAAAGATAATATAAATTGATGTACTTATTCTATTTTCTACTGGTACCAAGAAGCTTTCTTTTTTCCATTAGTCATTCATCTAACTATTTTCTTCAGTTCTCAGCTACCCCAACTCCATGGAAATTCTCAGACAAATGTATGGGAGCCATACTCTCCATTCTAATCCTTCCTTTATTTTCATGCCCCTGGGAAAAACCAAAAACATTTTCTTCCTTTCTGTCTTTACTCCTAATTTCTGGGAGATGGATGGTGAAGTTTAGGCCTCTTAGTATCTTTCTTTTCTTCCTAATTTTATACCGGCTTTTCAACTCCTGGTTCAAATGTTAACTTCTTTGCAAAGCCTCCTCTGCTCTTAACCTATGGTATTTGCTCCTATAGTACTGACAGCACATCTTATACCCTCCTGGAATGAATTAACTGCTTCCTGCGTGGTATTTTTTTCTTTAATACAATTGTTAACTGCTCAAGAAGAAAAACTACTGAGTTCTGATTTTTCCAATCACAGCACATTCTTCTACTGAAGTTTCACTTTGTGTCCAGATTGCAAGGTTTCAGGTAACTCATGTGTTTTAAGACTTGCAGGTCAAGAAAAACTCACACGTTCACCAGGATCCAGGATGGAGAAACAGAGATAGCAGTGGAATCATAAGTTTGAGAATGCTATTATGATACAATGTATATCACTTATCTCTTCATCAAATCCAACCTTACAATGTTGTTGCATGGTGCACTCACTTGTCCTTTGAGAACCCATATTTGAAAGATGCAGGATCTTGATTCAGGGAGGGCAAAAAGGGTAGGAACTATAGTTAACAGGCTTAGCAATCTTGACCTACATGTTCATATCTGATGCTCTCACATATGCCCCTGCACTGTACTTCTTTTAATGTTTGGCAAAGACTTATCTTAAGTACCTGTTAACACATTCTTCATTTGATAGTACATCTTAATCCCTTTTGGGCCTTCAAGAAGCCTGCTGAGGATCAAGTACAGAGATGATTCCCCCAGCTGATGTCCCTTGACAAGCTTCTTCTGGAAACTGATGTAGAGGGATCCACTGGAGATCAGTGATTCTTAGCCTGATTCTGTATCTGCTGTAAGATGAAGCTGTCTGATAGAGTCAGTACTTATTAAAGTCCTTCAAATGTGTTTGGTTCTGTGTCTCAGGCTACTCAGGCAATATAT